CAATAATTTAGTAAATGAAGCCGATATTTCAGTTAAAATACGTAAGTAAAAATATTTATAATAGTATAGTACTACCCCCCAACTTTATGGATAATTTTTATGGATTTAATTTTACCAATTATACTTGAATAAATACAGTACTTTTTGGCACTTAACGATTAATACGATTAATGCCACCAGGCAGAGTCCACTCGGTGCTCCTCGCTGCTTCAGATATGATGAACGTAAAAAAAAGTTTCTGTAATTTATCTATCAACACAATTTAAAATTTCAAGTATAGCCTGAAGTCTGTAATTTTGACACAATTTGGAACAGATTTGTATGAAGAGCAAATCTTTCCCACTAAATTGGTCATGTGACCAGGACATAAGGGTGTCCAGGGACTCCAGGGSATTAATCGTCAAATTAATCGTTATCGGCTAAATACCACAATTAATCGTGATTAATTTTTTTGCCAATATTGCCCAACCCTACCATGATACCAAGCCTTACGTCTTGTAGTCACCAACTAGTCTCCCAACAGTCAGATGTCTCCCAGCCTGTAGAGTGATTTTGGCTAAGTCAGAATGTGTCACCATAAAGCATAGAAGAACAAAATATAGATATCAACACTTTCTAATCTTTTACTGTCTGAAATTATCCTTCCAGGCCACAGAGGGAAACAGTTTTTAAAACTTTATAACACTTATAAATGAGGAAGTGACTAATAAGTAGTGTTTTTATTAACCTCTGTGGCCTTTTTTCCACCTTTCTTTCCATTTTGCTTGTAGGTGARGATGGGGACCCAAGACTCATTCACCCGAGAGACTTGGATCTGATCCAGTCGGTCCCATCAGTGGACCTCCTGAACATGAAGGCCCCACCACGTGTCCTCACCCTCACAGAACAGCCTCTGGACTCTCTTGAAACGGACCAAACCAACAACTCTCAGAGTAATTCCAGCCAAGCGGTACGTGAAATAAAAGTGTGAATTTTCTGTACTATTGTTATGTGGATCCAATAATGAACTGAAACACTCAGAACACATGTTGTGTGATCCACAACAGTAAATGTGCTTTTTGTTGTTGAATGTTGAAAATGGTGGCATGTGTTGGTCAGGTTACTTACACAGGATARGACCGACTCAAACTCATCCTCAGTCCAAACAAAGGCTGATGTTTTCAACATGTTGATGCAGAGACTGAAATGTCTGCTGCAGGTCTTATTGAAATACAAAAATCACCCGGTTATGATAGCTACCATTAGGGATGCACTGATATAAAAATTTCAGCTGATATTGATATCCAATATTATTGGTGTTAGGACCAGRAACRGATATTTACAGATATTACACAAACACACAAATTATTTATATACATATACGCACAAATACACTTGCCCTTTTTTGATACTGTAAAACAACGGCCAGACTGCTGACATGGCTCTACTGCAGTTATTTTTGGCTACGCAGCGTCACTAACACTAWCATGATCAAACAGATACCACTCGACCCAACATTTCCCTCCCAAAACAGAAACACAAAGCTAAAAAGTGGGAAATCAATATTMGACGTTAATATCGGCCCAGTTTTACATATRGAACCGATGCCAATGTTGAAGCCYATATATCAGCGGTGTCAAACTTATTTTCACAGAGATCACATGATCTCACATGATTGAAATCACATGATGATTTCACATGATCGTTATGGTGGCCCTCAAAGGGCTAGTTGTTCCCATGGATGATTGACAMGCAATATAAGAGATTATGTTTGTGATTGATGCTGGATTTAAAGCAGCTTATTTTAAGACATTATAAGACATTATTACTGAGCTATATAACTAAATTGTTCAGTTACCGTACATATAGCCAACAGCTCGGGCAGGATATGTACTATTATCTTTCACCTTTTAAATTAGTTTATTTTGCTGCATTTAACCATAAATTTCAAGTTTACCGTTGAAATATAAGAAACAATTTTCATATTAAGTCTGGTGGGATGGATGGGAGTCACCCATGGGCATCATTTGGCCTGCGGGTCTTGAGTTTGACACGTGCGATATATCGTACATTCATAATTCCCACTCAGTGTCAAACTACCATATCAACCTACCTAGTGGCAGTTTGTTCCTTTTAAAATGTTTGGATGTTTTAATTGGAAAGCATGAAGCCACCTGTTATACTAGTTAAGAACTAGAGGTGTCCTGATACAACTTTTTCCTAGGGATGCACGATATATCGGCATTAATATCGGTATTGGCCAATATTAGTCATTTTTTAGAGTATCGGTCCAATATTTAAAACTGGGTCGATATTAACATCCGATATTGATTTCCCACTTTTTATCTTTTTGTTTCTGTTTTGGGAGAGGAGATGGTTGGTTGAGCAACATCTGTTTGATCGTGATAGTGATATTTATGCTGCAGAACAAGACTACAAGACGTAAGGCAGGAATAACTGAAGTAGAGCCATGTCAGAGGTCTGGTTGTTTATTTATGGTATCAAAAAGGCCCAAGTGTGTTTGTGAGTATAAGTATAATATAATTGGTGTGTTTGTGTAACAGTTATTGGCCATAACAGCAATAATTATATCGGATATCGATATCGGCTGAGATTTTCATATCGGTGCATCCCTATAATTTATATAGGTATACGCACAAATACACTTGTGTTTTTTGATACCATTAAAAAAATGACCACTGACATGGCTCTACTTCAGTTCTTCCTGGCTGTGCAGCGTCATTAACACTAACATGATTGAGCAGATACCACTCAACTATTTCCCCTCCTAAAACAGAAACACAAAGCTAAAAAGTGGGAAATCAATATTGGACGTTAATATTGGCCCAGTTGTACTTATCAGACTGATATGCTAAAAAAAAATTACCAATATCAGCCGAGGCAAATGTTAAAGCTGATATATTTTATATACCTATTTCCCACTGTTTGTTCCTTTAAAATGTTTGGATGTTTTAATTGGAAAGCTTGAAGCCACTTGTTATACTAGTTAAGGACTAGGGGTGTCCTGACAGCGTTTTTTCACCACCGATATGATGCTGATATTGCAGCACAGAGCATTGTCCGATACCAATATCAGAATGAATCCTACACACCTTTACTTGTTTGTATTATGCAGGGTTCCCACAGGTCCTTGAAATCCTTGAAAGTTTGTAAATTTGAAAAAATGATTTCAAGGCCCTGGAAAGTTTGTGAAAACAGCCAAAAGTTACACTTGTCCTTGAAAGTCCTTGAATGTTTTTTGGGGATTGAAATTCTCTATTCACATGACTGATTTTCATCATCTTTTAAAAAAATTAATTCTAAAATTAAATAAAAAAAACACATTTGTTGCGGTGGATAACTCAGGATTATGGTAAACTGATGTCATTGTTTCTGACTCAACAAACTTCTATGTTGTTCAGTTTTTCATTGAATTTACATGATAATAAACCTGTATTGGTAACATTCTGCGGTAGCAGTAGGAAATTGTTGTTGCGTGTGGTTCTTTAATTTGAGGAAATTGGCACTGGAAAGTCCTTGAAAGGTCCTTGAATTTGATGTTGACCATGGTGTGGGAACCCTGATTATGGAATCTTAAAAAGTCTTGATCAAGTCAAACAGTAAACAATAGTCATCAACAATAGGTTATGAGAAAGACTGGTCCCATTTATTATTAACCAATGAGTTACATAAGTTTTTAACTTAAACATAAGTGTATTGTTCAGTTAAATACAATAAATAATAAAATAGAAAACCTCGAAAAATAAATCCAATAAAATAAAACGTACTTTTAAAGTGTAAAATCAAGGTCATTTTAGTTATTCATGCTGGATCCAAGTGCTGCTGGATAGAAGTCCTGAGTGGACCACTGGATGGACTGCTTGTATCAGAATGCTGATATCYGAGATTTTAGATGCAAGTCGATATAATCCGATATTCATTTTTRGGCTGATGTGGGGTCGGGACACCCCTACTTCTCTAAGAACAAACACTTTGTTTGTATTACAAAGATGAATAGATTATTTTAGGGTACCAACAAATCTGTCCAATCTGTATATTTAAATATATTTTCTTTTTCAGTTTTGTCAGATGCTGTTATTTTTTTCGCTCAACAATTTCTGATAGCCTTTTTAAATGAAACATTATGGTCGTATTCACACCTGATAGTCCGGTAGACTCGGTTCGATTGGGGACCAAAACTGCAAGCTTTGTTTACGTTTTCTGTTGGTGCGGTTTGAATTTTTACTGCACTTTCTCAACCGAACTAAATCCTGTTAACCTGTTCCTGCCCTCACCTGTGGGGGCGCTGCACAAAGAACCACTAAAGGAATCAACATGAAAACCTCTGAAGAAGATATGGAGTGCAACTTCCTTCTTCACAAAATGTAAAGAAACAATAGTAACGTTACATTTTAGTGATTATAGGGTTTATTTTTGGTTTTTGGCAAATGTGCTAAACAAATAGTCATCAACAATGAGCTCAGCATGAGAGGAAGATGAGGCGGAACCACGGAGAATGTTGTTTTGCACACAAGGCGGCTGAGGAAGCTCCGTGTTAATCAAGTAGGAGCGCGTCCAGCTCCACAGTTAGGATGTCCACCTTATACAGTCGTCCAGCGAGGTATTTACACCATATAAGTAAATTTATTACTGTTATTACTCAGAACATCATGCGGTATAGTCCACTTCCTGCTTTTGGATCGGTCTGTGGTCCGCTTAGCGTTCACACTTGCAATCGAACAGCACCAGAGTTCGTTTCAATCGAACCAAGACCTACGTTTTCAGGCGGACCAGAGTTTGCTTTTTTGGTCCAAATCGGAGTTTGATTACACATTCACACCTCCACAAACGAACCAGACTTTCCAGGCAAACGAAATAGAGTTTGATTAAATCGGACTAAACAGTGCAGGTGTGAATACGACCTTAGAGAGAGACAAAGTTTTAGTGTTATTTTCACAATGAACATTGAGCAGTCAGTGTCCTGTATCACATAGAACAGAGGTCACTAATAGGCAGACCTCGGTCCGGATCTGGACCGAGTGGGGGTCTCATGCGGACCRGAACGCAATACATGATCAGTCCCTTTCATAAGACAAATCCACACAATTGCCGCACAGACCAGTCTGGCTTTAAGCGTCCCCAGGTCATTCATAAGACCACAGGTGAAGGCGGGCAGGTCCTGCTCACATAAACGTGTTCATAATGAACCCGCAGCGCTGATCCAAAAGAGGCGTGGAGCAGCTGAGCTGAACCGGACCGCGACGTAGCTTTTTATTATGGACAGACGCCTGCTGCCTCGTATCAAACAAAACAACTGAATTAGCTCACTTTAGTGATTCTGTGGCGGTTAAATATTTTAGAAATAATTATACAAAGTTACTGTTTCGTGTCATTTTTAATATTCCCTCTAATAATTCTCCAGCTGCGCTGACGTATCAAGCGCGCGCGCACACACACACACACACACACACACGTTTGTTTCTCGACCCCGTGGGGACCTTCCATTGACTTCCATTC